AAGGCACAGAGCAATATTAGCATCTCCCACAAGGAATAAATAAACCATGAGGACAGGGCTACTCCTTGCAGTGCTTTCTGGGGGACCTATGACTGTATTCTGTCCTTTAATGAACACATACAGTAACGCCTGGCCTCTGCAGGGAGATGGATTTGTATTTGGTGCAGAGGAAGGGCAAACAAGGAGTGTTAAGTTGCCGAGCAACTTGGATCATTTTTGCACTCACTGCCACTGTCCGCCTCTCATCCAGGCCAGAACCACCAGTGACTGAACACCGGCTGGGTACCAGGCTCCATACCTTCACTTTGGATGCCTGCATTTGCTCAATGAATCATCTCAACACTCTTAAGACAGGAGCTTTGATGACTTAGTGGCAAGGAGTTGCACTGCCAAGGCATGCAGTTTGAATCCACAAGCTGCTCCACAGGAGAAAAGACGGGCATTTTCTTTCTGTGGGATTTAAAGCCTCTGAAAATGCCCTGGGGGGTCAGATCGGAGTTGGTGTAAACCTAACGCCACATAACAATGACAACGAAATTCTGAGAGGTGTGCAGTCCTGGCTGCATTTTGGTGAGGACACCACAGCTAAAAGATACAAATAGCATGGGTCTTGCTAAAAGCTGGAGCTAGGATTTACAGGCAGATCTAAAACCATCTACCACAGAATAGCTCCAGTGAGAGTGGACTGTGGCTCAACTCAACACAATTCATTGCCTGTGGAGACAGAAGTGACTCACAGTTGACCCTCGAGTGGGCTGGAGTTCAAAGGCTGTGAACTGCATGGGAAGTTTGCCCATCCTTGTTGCAAGGAGCAGCTGAGGGATTCAAACCACCAGCCTTTGGATCAGCAGCATAACACTCTACCCACTAGGCCACCAGAGCTCTAAGCTGATTCTCACTCATGGTGACCCCTTGTGTGTCAGAGTAGACCTGTGCTCCACAAGGTCTCAATGGCTCTTTTTTTTTTTTCAGGAGTAGATTCATTGCCAGACCTTTCTTCCAAGGAACTTCTGGTTGAGTTTGAACCATCAAACTTTTAGCAAGTAGCTGAGCACTTAACTCTCTGTGCTACCCAAAGACTCCTTAGAAGAACTCTGTTTGTGATCAAGAATGTGTTTTCAATGAACAAAGAGAAGAAACCAGCAAACATCACATCTAGTGATTACACCTTTCCTCTTTAAGAATATCTGACTAAAGAAATTGAGTGTGTTTCTTTTTTTCATCAATTTTGCTTTCAGATTTTTACAATTTATTTTCAAGAAAATTCCCTTTCAGCATTCTAAACCAGAAGCTTCATTTCCAAAGCTGCAGACTCTAGGGGTAGGCACAGACCTCAATAAATAAAGGAGGGGGGTTTTTTAATCAATAAGTTATTAGTGAGACCACTGAGTGCAAATGCAATTTGAAATTTTACTCTTTAAAGTCTTACAGTTTCTTTAACTGCTGGTAACCAGGCTTGATGCCCAGGTGAGGTGCCAGGCATCTTGGGGGCCAGAAGACTGTGCAGGCTGGTGACTGACCATTTGCACAAACTACAGAAGCAGTTGTGGTCCAGGAGCAGTGCACTGTGTGGGCACAGCTGGGACCTAGGTCCAGGTGGATCTGAAATCAAATCCAAGCTCTGCCATTTAGAGACCGCATGATTTGGGAAACTTGTTCACTTCTCTGAATCTCATTTATTCTCTTGTGAATTAGGCAGAATAACAGTACCACCTCATTGTGGCATGACTGTAATTAATAGCTTCTAGAGCTATTTCAGGAGCTCTGGTGGCCTAGTAGTAAGAAACTGCACTAAAGTCCTAAAGGCACACGGATCAAATCTGTCAGCTGCTCCGCAGGAGAAGGATGGGCAATCTCTTCCCGTGGATTAACTGCCTCTGAAAACCTGCCAGAGCATCAGCTATGGGTCAGTTCTGTCTCAAAGATACACAACAACAGAGCTATTTCAAGGAAGAGAAGACTGACTGAGTTAATGTACATGAGGTTGCTGACGTCTACCATGAACTTGAACAAGGTTAACTTCACTCCTTCTCCACTTCCTCGCCCTTTCACAAAGGAATTACTTAGACCCTCCTCTATTTCCTCTAGTTGCTTCCACTGAAAGTCACTGAAGTGGCATCTAGCCTATCTTGCCATGGTCTAGAATAGTTGTTCTAAGAAATGAAAACTTCATTACCATCAAGTCAGAGCCAGTGGGCTTTCAGAGGCTATAAATCTCACAGGAGGAGAGTCTCCTTCTTGCTCACAAGGAGTGGCTCATGGATTAGAACCACCAGAGAGGGGTCCCCTTTGGGTGAGCAGGGCAATTCTCTATGGCCTAGGCTACCAGAGACCCTTTAGAATAGGACTTAGAACATGACAGGTATTTCTCAAATAAATATTTACTGAATTTATGGAGCAGTCAGTTAACGGGTAAGTACTTAAGAGGTGTATCCTACACCCATCCTGGGACTTTGTGTCCCTCTCCTGCTTGACTTAGCACAGGGAACTGACCCCTGCAGGATGCATTCCTCAGGCTCTCTTACGAGCTAGCTTCTGGATGGCTGGGTTGATGAGAAGCACTGGGGGGAGACAGGAAAGTGGGAGGAAGGGAGAAGGCGAGGTATTGCTTCACCTTTATCTCATCACAGGACCCTGGGTGCAGCCGCCATACCTAACACTTGACGTGGGCAACCTTGTCATGAGAGGCCAATGATCCCCTTTCATAAAGCATTCCAGACAAGGACTCCCGACAGGGCAGCGATACTTGGTAACCTGAGTCAGAATCAACACAACAGCAGTGGGTTTAGGTCTTGCTTCGGTTTGTGATCTGTTAGGCACACAGCAGTGAGCCTTATGGGAGCTTTCCCTCCCACTCCCATCAAGAGATCACTGCACCTCCAGCCTCCACAGGGAGCCTCAGCTTTTGTGTTCTAGTAACCTGACGACCATCTTCCCCTGTCCCTGGAGTCTAGTCTCCTTGTCGCTAACCTCTGAGTTCCATCACTGTGCTGTTTGGCTTCTCAGCTTTTCCACCACCAGGTACTGATTCTCTCTGCTTCACTCTCTGTGCTGTGAATCCTTGAGTAACTCCTGTCACTCAGCCTAACCCCTCCCATCTCACTGGGGGCAAGAACGTGTGAACTCAGACTAGAGAGAACCCCATTCATCCAAACTCTGCTATTCACCAGTCATGTGGTCCCAGTTTCCTCATCTGTATCAGGAGCTCCCCAAGGAGCTTCTCATAGGGTTGTTGTGAGATTCCAGTGAGGTCATCCAGGTAGATATTCAACTACCAACCAATGACTGTGTACCTGTCATGTGCCACGCCCCCCTCCCCTCCCCTTTTTATACAACAGGGATGAACAGAGAATGTCCTACCTTTCAAAAGGTTTCAGCTAATAGAAGTGGCTGTGCTTTGTTATCTGACAGGATAAGCTGGTACCACTGCCCTCACCTCTGGGGATGCCCAGAGCTCTTGGGACCACCTACTGGTGACCACTGTCCTGCCCTTCATCCAGGTAGCCTGACTGCTCCCTGTGTCAACCACAACCTCACGTGGGCAGCGATCTGACTGCACACTGTGCCCTCCTCCCCGCCTAGCACTTTCATTTGCATGAGTCAATAGCATGTCAGAGCTCACTTTAATTAACTGTAAAGGATTATCCTGATTCTTCCGCTGGCTGTTCTAGTTGGTGTGTTGTTTTGGGGTTTGGTCGTGGGTTTTGTTTTTTGTTTTGGGGTTTTTTTTGTTTTTTGGTTTGTGTGTGTGTGTGTGTGTGTGTGTGTGTGTTGTTTTGGCTTTTACATGGTGTTGTTAGAAGTGAGTATGTCATCAACTCAGGTTTGCAAACCCTGTTTATACCTCGATTGTGTTTGAAAAGGTACTCTTCGCCACACAGTTTTTCATTATTGATGACCTCTTTTATAATGATTTAGTCAGCTTCTTTAATGATGGTATTGATAATAATATGTGGCCGACAATCTATTTGCAACAATATTCCAAAAGGCACAAGAAAAGCAATTTGTGCACATGTGGAAAATTAGGTAAATTCGCCGGTTTTGAGCCAGCCTGAAGATGGAGCACATTAATACAGATTCAACACCCGTCGCATTCCAAGTGTTTTCATGTGGTCTCTCTGGCATCCTGTCTATGAAGAAATGGGCTCTATCCTCACTTATTAATAAACTAGTAGGACTTAAAGACGCATGTGACCCACCCAGATAAGGATTGACAAAACCAGAATGAAGGTGGGGTGGGGCAAAAAAATGAGGAAGTCCCTTTGTGTTCAAGACATAGTAACTTCTCTGAGCCTCAACTTCCTCATCTGTAAATAGAGATGCTAACAGAAGGCAGTTCTGAGGTTTAACAAGATAGTATGTGCAATGGCGGCCTAATAGCTGGCTTTCTGGGGTGGGGTGGGGGAAATACTGATTCAGTGGTAGAATTCTCAGCTTCCACGAGGCAGCCCTGGTGATGCCTCTCACTAAGTGCAGCCACCGTGCATCTGTGAGTAGAAGCTTGCAAGTTGCTCCAATGCTGAACAGGTTCTAGTAGTGTTTTCATATTAAGACTAGGAAGAAAGGCCTGGCAACCTACTTCACAAAAATATTTTGCATCACAACAGTCCACCATGCAGTTGATCATGGTGGCGGTGGTGGTGGTATGGGACCACGTAGAGTTCTGTACACTTGGGCATGGAGTTGCTATGAGTCTAGGCCAATTCAGTGGCCAGTTAGCAACAGCAGCAACAGCTATAAGGGATTGAGGGACCTCTGGTGGCACCATCTACAGAGAACTGCACTGCCAGCCTGAAGGTAAGCATGTCTCTAGTAGTTCATACTCACTAATGGCTCCACTTGAGAAAGGTGGGCAACCTCCCATGCAATTCATAGCCTCAGCAACCCACTGGAGGGTTGGCTATGAGTTGACCTCAACTTGACAGCAATGACTGAGTGTGAGATAAAGAACATGCAGACCCTTCCATCAACCCTTCCCTCATTTTCTGCTCTCTCTGCAGATGACCATTCACGAGTGAGGCTGCTGGTACTGGACGGAGACCCGCACTCTGACTACATCAACGCCAACTACATTGATGTGAGTGGACAGGGCTGAGAAGCAGGAATGGAAGAATGGGTGTTAGCGGGTTTCAGATCCATGGCTGTCTCTCACACCTCTGCAGGCACATGCAGATTTGCACAGCCTGATTTGTCCCAGATTTGTGTAATCCAAGTTCGGAAGCTGTGCCCTCTTCTTCCAGAGTGGCTCGAGTCACCTGCATTCTGGGTTCCCAGGACGACTGCCAGTCTTCCTCATTCACCCATTTATTCATCTGTATACATGTCTGACATGTCTGATGGTCTATTCATTCATTCATTTGAAGGTACAGGCATTAGGGCATCAAAAATTTAAGAGTGCCTCCTGGATGCTATGGGAACCATAAAGCTAAAAATACTATACTCTCTATCCTTGAAAACCTTAGCAAGGAGACAAGTTGTGCACATCAATAATTCCAGGGCAAACTAGAAAGTGTTAAGTGTCATAAGTTCAGATAAAAGGCAGCAGAAATTCAGAGGTGGGAAAGAAAATCACTTCTCCCCTCAGGACTGCCAAGGTAGAGCGAGCTAGAGCATCAGGCAGAGTCAGAATTTAGAAATCAGAGAGTGGAAGATGCTCAGAAAGACTTACATGGGCAAAAAGAAAATACGCAGAACTGGAGAGCAGAGCATACGGGGCAACTCGGCTTGAGAGGAACACAGGCTTCAGAAGGAGAAATAAGTTGGGGGCTGGGTCATTACTGGTCAGATGGTCAGACATCAGAAGATGGACTTCGGAGACTATTGGAAGGTTTTTGAGGAAAGAAGTGACCAGTTCAGAGCTGAGCTCTGGGATAATTTATCTGCCACTGAGGAGAAGATAGGTCAGAAATAGGAGAAATTAAGATTACCAGGGAGGAGGCTCATCTTAGAGAGGAGCCGGGAGGTAGAGGTGCCCATGGAAGTGAGAACTTGCAGCTATAGAGCATGGCCACAGGAGCAGATGGCTACCCCATGGTGACTGATGGAGCCAGGCTTCTCAGCATCTGACCCACACGCTCAAAGACCTTGAGGAATAACTCAGAGATCCACAAAGGGAACCCTGATTCACTTGTATTTCTGGACAATCTACAAAGCACAGTGATATGCTCTGTGAATTCCTCACCCCTAGATTGAGCCTGATCATTCATTAATCCAACAAATGTTTACTGAGCCCAATTCTGGTTACCCGGCGGTTTGCCCTCAGAACCCTTCCTTACCCTTCCTTCTTGTGCTACACAGTCCAGATGTGTGTATGGGATGAGGTGTATGTGGGACGGGGTGTGTATGGGACATTGTGCTACCCCTTTGGTTGCATCTCCCAGGCCCCTCTGCCGGCTTCTGGCTGAGTTCTCCCCACAGCATACACTGATGGGAGATTAAAAGGGCTTTCTCCCTTCTTCCTTGTGCCAGCAGCTCTAGTGATGGTTGTACATCCCATCCCCTCTATGGGGCTAGTTTCCAGCAAGTAGACCCATCAGAGTTCCAGCTTCTGCCAGGTAATCGAGCTCTGAGACTCCGGTATCTTTTTCTTCCATTATCCCGCCAGTCCTGTGAGTGGTCTGGTTAGAGCTGTTAGGAATCATTGGTTCCGTGCTAACTCACAGTGGAACTAAGCAGTAAACACTGCTTGACCCCGCACCATCCCCACAATCACGGCGATGCTTCAGCCGCTACGTCAGCATCTCCTTGCTGGTCTTTCTCTTTTTTCCTGACCCTCTGTTTTACAGAGAAGGATGTCCTTCCCCCAGGCGCCCTCCTGTCTTACCATCATCCTCTTTCCTCGGGCACATTCTGATGGTACATCTTCTAAGAGAGATTTCTTGAATTGACTCTCCAAACAGCCCAGAGACGATCTTAGTCCCTGGCTTATTGTTAATCCCCAGGTTGCCTCACTGTTCCGTTTGGCATCTCAGCTCTGTTTTAACTTGTAACCACTTCCCTACATGAAATGATCTAAAACACTTGAGAGAGAGTTCTGTTTGCCTCAACTTGACCATTAACAACTAACATAAGGGCCTATCTAGCATGTCGTCAAGGGTAGAGATGAGAGTTACTGAGTCTCTGACAACCATGGCTCTCAGGGAAAATTCACAAGGTGGTGGCCAGGCCTTAATCACGTGTTTCTAAGCTTGGACTGAGGCAGGGGCAACACGAAGCTAGTCCAGCACTGCTTCTCCTGCCCTTCTCCCATTCCTGGTCACCTCCTTGTGCCTAGTACACGGTGGAGGGTCAATTCAAACATGTTGAGGCAGAGTAAATCAATTCCTATCACATCTCCCTGACTTCATCTCTCGCTGGGTGGACATGGCAGCTTGGAGGACCACAGCCCTCATGCGGTCTACCAGCCCAAGTTACTGAAGCTGGAGTTGGTCATCAAAGTGAAGAATAAGTTCCAAGATAAACACTCAACTCGAAGTTGAGTGAGTATGTGGGAAAGCCAGCACCAAGGAAAACTTAGATGTTTCATGGGCAACAAATGAAATTGTCTTAAAAGCCAATGACCCTCTGTAACATCAAAACTAATAATACCTCCCTTTTCTATCATGTTCTATCAGTACAGCACATTTTGGGAGCATTTGAAGACATGAAAGCAGAGGTGAGAGGTTAAGAGCTTTGTCCAAAGCCACATAGCCAGTATGCAGTTCTCTATCCACTGAGAACAAAGCACAACACCCTTGTTTTCTCATAAGAAGTAGGTTAAGTAGACACACCCAACAGCCTCTGGTAGATGCCACTTTGAGACGTGATATCAGACTCTGCTGGATTTCAGTAGTTAAAGTGGATAGGTAATGTGCCCAAAGAAATTAATGTGGTCCTTGCTGGGCATGCTGAAACCAGGCTTTGGTACTTACTGTTTTGTGACCTAGCGTAAGTTACTTATTTATTCCTATCTGTAAAGTGGGATAATACTGTTTTAGAGGAAAGTAGTAACTTGAATAAAGTATTTACCAGGGAAAACAGCAAACAATCTCGCTAAAACAGAGAGTGTGGTGTCCTGAAGCTCTCCCTGAGACCTGGATACCAGAAGACAAGACAGTCAATGGAAGGAGAGTCATCCCAAGAAGAAGGTTTCTTGTTAGGAGCGAGGGACTCTTCTAGAACAATGCAGCGAGTTTATGATGATCTTGCAGGTAGAGACCCAAAGAAACAGCTGCCCCACCCTAACTCCTCTCCTGGCCTCTTGAGCTCTGATTCTACTGTCATTGGCCAACCCAACTTAGAAACCAGAAGGCATAGAATGCCTGGGGCAGCCCATCCTGCAGGGCGCAAAGCAGCCCGTGGAAAGACAGAAATGAGAGATGGAGGGGGACAAGAGAAATTATTCCAAATAAGGGCCTTCTAACAGTGGAACCACTGTGGGGTGGAGGCTGGGGGGAATGACATTCAGTGTGAACCAACTACTGTCATTGTTAGATGCTCTCTAGTCCAGCATGGCCTCCTGGCAACCCTGCCTACCCCTGCCCATTCTAGTCACTCTGTCAACCCGTCTCACTGAGGGTATTCCTCTCTTGTACTGACCTTTTACCTTTCTCAAAAGTGTGTCTTTATGCAAGATACTGCCCCTCCTGGCAATGCCTAAAGTATATGAGATGCAATCTCACCATCCTTGCATCTAAGGAGAACTCTGGTTACACTTTAAGATAGCTTGGTTGGTTCTTTTGGCAGTCAATACGCTTAGCCAGCACCACAATTCAAAAGCATCGATTCTTCTTTAAGTCTTCATTACCCTTTGTCCAAACTTTCAAATGCACAGGAGGCAAGAGTAAATGCCATCCATGGCTTGTCAGCCACCACTCATCTGCTAGTTTTCCATACTCTGGCGGCTTGCATTCTGCTCTGATGCTCGAATTTATGCCACTAGTACTACAAAGAACATTAGCATTACCCATGGTGGCACTCAATGGAGCTTCCAGATTAAGACAGACTAAGACGCAGGATTGGCCATCCACTTTTGAAAGAACAGGCCTTCAAAAATTCTATGAATAATGGAAGAGCCTACTATATCTACCAGGAAAGTCAAGAATAGCTGGGGTTCCTGTGGGGGTTTCTGGCAGTACCCACCCTAGACAGCTGTCTAGGTCCTCACCCCTTTTGGGCCTGCTCTCCAACCCACGCCAGATTCTTGCTGGGCTTTTCAGAGAGCTCACTGTCCACACCAGAATCATTTACCCACAACTGGGTCCTGACAGTTCATTTAAAGGACTCCATTTGGATAATGAGCGGGATGGAAGCCACCCTCTATGTGCCTCTGGAGCCTGTGGTTCTGCTCCCACCTGAACTGCCCTGCTGGCTGCCTTGTTTGTGCACCCGAGAATGCATTGGCCTCTTGAATCGGTTATAAATTACCAGCCTGGAAATAAGCATCATATCTGGGTCCCCAGTAAGTAACAGATGCATGAGTGCAGAGTGAGATAAATGCGTTTTGGATGCAAACCTCTCTCCCATCGCTCACAGACAGATGGAGGCAGGCCCAGTGGTGGTTTGCAGTATATCTGCGTGCTGTGTAGGTGGGACTTAAATGAACTGAAAGTTCTTTTAAGGTTAGGAAGTTTCTGTACCAGCTCTTGGCAAATCCCCAGAGATGCCCTAGTTGAGAAATGCATTCCTTTTTATCTCTAGTGCTGAGGAGTTTCATGGAGAGAATGTTTTCTCTTTGGGGATTCCCTGGATTCTTGGAGGCCAGTGAGGGTCTCTGCACTCAGCTCTAGCATGGGGACAGGCACACAGCGCGCATACCTGCATTTGTTCATTTATTCAGTGAGGCTGTGAGCAAGATGGCTATAGCCTCCCCTTGGGTGATGCTTTTGTTCAACCGGGGGAGGCACAAACTAAGCACAGACAGACAGACAGACAGACAGACTAGTACACCGTTCGATGGTCAGTGCCTTAAACCAGAGGAAGTGGAAAGAAAATGATTGGAGAGTCAGAAGAGGGTTTTACTCTCCTGATTCTGAGGATTAAGAAGCAAAGCACTCCATTACCTGGGGACAGGCCAGTAGAGAGAGGGAATAATCAATGATGAGGTTTCGAGACAAAAACATGACTACTATTTCTGAGGAAGAAAGACTGTGAGGAATAAGAGAATGGGAGAGAAAATGGGAAATATCTGTTAGAAGGAGGAAACTGGAAACAGCAGGGATGTTGAGATGCCCAAATTGAGATTTAAGATGTCAATTCAGTCTCCACTTTCTCAGAGATAGTTGCTGACTTTGACTGACTCAGACCCCCTTGGGTATTATTGCCATAGCTTCACCATGGTAGCCTGAATCCCACCTATAGATTTGTCCTTTTTTGGTGTAATTATTTTGCCAATCTCTGTAAGCTGCCTAAAGACGGAGCACATGTGCATTTTGTCCACTTTCGTATCTCTAGAGTCTTATACGTAGTCAACGGCATGGTGGGGTTGACGTCCTGCCTTGAGTCTTCTTCCTCAGCTGGTTAAAGAGTTAAACTAGGTGGGAGAGACTACAGAGGCTTCTGTTTGAGCGACAGAAGTAGCACTGTATATAGAAAATTCAGTATACAGGAAGCAATGGAGGCTCTGAAAAGAGTTAATGCTTCTCTTGCTTGAGGTAGTCCCAACATGGGTCAAGTCTTTGCTACAGCAAATGGACTCACAGGACATTCGGCTTGCTGAGGGGACAGGCAAGGACACAGGAGGGAAGGTGAAAGTGAAGGCAGATTATCAGCAAAGATACATTCCAGTGAGAGGAATGGGTCATTCTCTGCAGAAAACAAAGGGTGGAAAGGATGCTATGCCCCTGTGGTTTGGGGTTAATGTGGCTGGGTCGCTGCCTCATTTGGGTGTACTTAGAACTTTAATCTAAGCCAGTGGGATGATGCCACAGGAAGTTCAGGACTTGATGGGAGGTTTTCCGTTTTTCACCCCAGCTCCTTGCTCCTGACATCGCTGGCTGCGTTACAAGTCTCTCACTCACCTAAAGTGCTAATTCCTTTGCCTTGGGACAGTCTCCACTCTACATGTGAGGACTGAGAGGAGCCTGCATCAACCTTATAAGGCAGTGCTCTCTGTTCCCTGGTTTTGATCGGCTCTTGCATCTCCCTTTTGCCCTCAAGATGAGTTTCATTTGGTCTTAGCTACTTTGCTTGGCCTTGGCTCCTTACAGGCTCTTCACATGAGTTTCTTCTTTCCTTGTCTTGTTGGTATGCGCCCTAACATTCTTTCCACCAGATCTTGCCTCATTTTGCTTCACTAAAATAGTTCTGTCCCTAATAATAAGCAAGCACTCAGCTAATACCAGTCTATTAAATATTAAGCAGCTGACTCAACATATGAATGAACAAAACAGAGTCCAAATAATCCAACTCCGCTCCAGGTTTCAGTCTATTGACTTGTAAGTACAGTAAAAACTTTCCAAATGGGAATGTTCCTTCAAAGAGAGAGAGAGTGTATGGGTATATAAGAGAATAAGAGAGAGCGTATAAGAGAGAGTATGAGAGAGAGAGAGAGTTCTTCTTATCCCATGTGTGAAGTGGTAAGCTAATCTCATCTCAAAATCATAATCATCCATCCATTCTGCCAACTATCATTTCCTAAAAACTGTACCCGGTACTACGGATAGAGAATAAAACGGCATGGCCCATGGGCCAAAGGCAGCAAAGGAGAGTCCCAGGCAAATCTGTGGGCAGCTCCTAGGCATCTACTCTAAAACCTGAGAGACCAGAGCTTGACAAGGCAGACTTGTTTTTCTGGGTTTCATTGGTTTTTCCACCTTAGTGGAAAATACTTGAGTTTTAACTTCTAATAGGTTTCCATGTTACACAGGTAACAGCTTTCACAGGTATTACTGTATTTTCCACTAAAACGAATGACAGAAAAGCAGTAAGCCTTGCACTGCACCCTGTCAAAAGCAGAAAACTTGTGAGCCGCAGAGAAACAAGGCAGTGCTGTCCAGTTCTGGCTCTCGCGGTGCTCACTGCATTTGGGTTTGTGTGCCTTTTCTAACTGAGGTCTGCCTACCCAGGTTCTGGCGTTCACAGTTTTACTCTATAATAACGGGCTTGGACATATCAGAGATCATGCAGATAGTACAGGAGAGGGCTAGTTTCCAATGGGATGTTCACAGGGTCGCTCTGCATCGTGGTGGAATGAACAGTATACAACAATAGCCACCAGGAGGAGCAATTAGTGAATTATGAAGCCCTGGGTCTGCATCATCTCATGTAAAACTTGCCGCTTCTCCGGGAAATAACTCATGTGATTCCCATTGTCGTCTATGAGGAAAGCCAAGTTTGGGAAAGATGGTTGCCAATACGTCTTCGCAGCCTTTCATTGAAGGCCACTCACTGTGCTATCCTTCTGTTATGCAGGGATACCATCGACCTCGGCACTACATTGCAACTCAAGGTGAGTGTCCTTTTATTACCTGGTGCCTTAGAGACACCTCAGGGGCTCCAGAGAAGCAGTCTTTCTGGGGAGTAACAGCATCCAACATTATTATTATTCCCTCCTCTTGCACCTCTTGCCCCAACACTCCCAGCACATCAGAGGATCCTCGCTCCTCTCTGGCAGAGGAATGAATTTCTACTGACTAAAAAGCCAAGGACAGTAGGGCTGGCGAGCCTGAGAAACTCTTGAGATTGTTTGTTTGGAATGGAAGGTGGGTAGTGAATTCAGCTCTAGGATGAAGGAATAAAAGTGAGAAGTGAGACTGATCACTAGGACGTGGTCAGGACAAAGGGACAGAAGCAGGACAGACTCCCAGCATGAGCTTCAGCTCGGTTCCCTAACATCTGCCGTCCAGAGTTGGGGCTGAGGGGGAGTCTGATCTCCCCGGTGGCTGAGAGCACATGATTGAAATACAGTCATCTACCCTAGAAAGCAATTTGGTGGTGTGTTATCAGCAGACTTAAAAATGATCATACCTTCCTAGCCCTTCTGGGAAGGAATCCTGTAGATAATTATATATATGGACAGTGATTTATGCCTAAAGATATTCCTTACAGTGTTATCTATAATAGAAAAAAATGTGAAAAATCTTAAACGCCCCGCAATTGGGAGGTTGGTTAAATAAAGTGAGATACCTCTTTATTACAGAATACTATGCGACTAGGAAAAATAGCATGCGTGGGGAGAATTTTTTAAAGGATAGAAAATGCATAGAACAGAGATGACATTTATTAGAAAAACAGCATTCAAAATTGCAGATATTTTATAACAAATACCCAGCCTACGTTCAGAATAGAAAAAAAAAAAAATGATACCAGCTCAGGACACCGAGAGAATAAAATCTCCAACAAGCATTTTCCACGGAAATTGCTTTGAACTGTCAGATTCTATCTCTCACTCCTGGTCTCTTCCCTGCCCCCTCCTCCCCACCTTCTGCATTGCCTTCAGACTCTGGACAAATGCCTCTCCAAAGTGTCAAGCTCAAAATCAGGTAGCTCCTCCTATTTATGTCCTCTGCTCTGCCACTCTCCCCACCCCAATTTCCTTCCTGTCTTTCCCTGGGATTCTGGAGATCAATTTTTTTATGACACCTTTAAAGCACATCTTAGAATAGAATCCAAATAAGACAATGACTCAGGGGGCAAGAGGAGCTGCTTGGAAGGATGTGATCCCTGAGGATGACATCAGAACGAGAGGATGTTGTCAATATTTCCAGTGGCTGCTACATACAGGCACTGGATTTTTGTAGTGTCGTCCTTTGCCATCCGTACTGCCTTTGAACTGGCTCCAAGAGGCTCACATGTGTCCTAAGCTCGACCAGCGCACTGGGTCAGGACTAGCCCGCAGGCTATGCTTCTTGGCTGCCTGACTGCTGCCTTGGCCTCTGATGTCTACCGCGTTCTCTATTGGCAGGTCCGATGCAGGAGACGGTCAAGGACTTTTGGAGAATGATTTGGCAGGAGAATTCAGCCAGCATCGTCATGGTCACCAACCTTGTGGAGGTGGGCAGGGTAAGCCTCTCCTGCAGGTTCTGGGGGAGAGGAAGTTGGAAGCGCAGGACTGGGCATCTCTCTGTTCATCATGCTCAGGGTCACGATTTGACCCTCACGGCAAACCCTGAGGGGTGTGGGAGGAAGTATCATTCCTGTTTTCTATTTGAAGATTGTCCTCCTTCGAATTCCTCTCATCTCTTTCTCCATCCTCACTCTTCGCTGACGATGTCATCTCATGTATTTTGAGGAAATTAAAGCCATCAGAGGTGAACTCTCTCATCTCCTGACCACAGCTATAACCCTACTTGTCTCGACAATCATCTTCTCATTCTTCCTCTCTGTTATCAAGTTGAGCCATAAGAAACTGCTAAGATTCCTCACCGACAGCAGTCGAATGCCAGCCATTTCTTAAGGCTCAACCGAGCACAATGAAGAAATGTCTCTTCCTTTTCAAAGGCAAGCCTAGTGTTTTGAATCACAGGTTCTGCTCAAGAATTTTCTCATTGTCCCCTCGTCACTTGAAAAACTTAAGTCTTTTTCTCATTGCTAGTTTGCTCCCGTCAGCACACAAACATACGCAGCACCTCCCACCTTAAGAAGCCACAAGCAAACAGAAGTCATCCTCTTGTCCATGTGTGTATGCAGACCTCAGAGAGCCACACACAGCTTGACTTCTTCATTCTCATTCTCTTAAACCCACTCCAACCTAGCTGCTCTCTCCATTCCACCAAGAGTGGCACGGTCAGTACCATGAGCATCCTTCATGTTGACAAGTTCAGTCGCCACCTCTCTCTCCTCATCTGACTCAATCTCTCGACAAGCATTTGGCCCTTTGCTGGCTCCTCTTCCACCCCTGACCTCTACATCTTGATACTCTTCAGAGCTGGGGCCTTGGTCCCCTCTCTCCTCTATTTCATCTCTCTTTGGTGTGGACATTACCTACTTCTAGAGTTTAGGAATGGGACTGCTACTCCCAGCTTGCTGCTGCCTATTGTGGTAAGCGTGTGGGTGGGCGGGTCCTGGGTGTAAAAGTAGGGTACATATACAAACATACACACACACACATACACACAGACACCCCTACACCTGCAGATTTAAGAGGGCCTCTCTAGAACTAACTAAAGAGTGAGCAGGTGTCATTTTGCTTTATCAAGACCCAGCCAGCCATAGAGAAGATTGGGTGCCAGCCACCATGATGGTGGTACAGGGAGAATCTGAACCATCAGTTACCATCCAGTCACAGGGCATGGCATCTCATTACTCAGAGGGAATCAGGGTCAGAACAGACTTAATCTTTGAGTCCACTATTATGTAGCCCACTCACCAGTTTTACAGATGAGGAAACAGACCCAGAGGGGTGAACTGAGCACCGTGAAGTCCCCCAGCCGGAGGCTGGGGATGGTGTCTCTAACTCTAGACTCATATTCCATTGCTCATCAGCTCATAACTTCAGTCTCAAATTGTAGCGACTTGGACAGAGAGTCATCTTCTGTTGTTGTTGTTGTTGTTAGGTGCTGTCAAGTTGAATACGACTCTTAACAACCCTATGAACAACAGATCTGAACCTTGTCCTATCCTGTACCGTCTTCACACTGTCTGACACAATTTAAGCCCATCCAGGACCCAAGCATCTGGAGGCAAATTCCAGCACATTGAGATAAATCCTCGTACTGGATAGATCATGAATCCAGAATGGGTATGGGGAGGGAACAGGCAAACAGTCCCCCCATGTCCTCCTGCACGCCAGGCTCTGTGTCACACACGTACTAAACATCCCCTCATTTTATCTCACAGCACTAGTCATTTTCCTAGTAATTATTTAGATGACCAGCGTTTACATCACGTCCTGCTTCCATCCATTACTAAGACGTTGACCTTGGGCTATTTTAGATTCTCTGTGCTTCAGATTCCTCATCTGTAAAATGGGGATAATAAGGGAGCTCTGATGGCCTAGTGGCAAGAAGCTGCACTGCAATCCCAGAGGCTCACAGTTCAAATCCACCAGATGCTCTGCTGAAGAAGGAGAGCCAATCTCCTCCTGTACCAGTCAGATCTGATTTGACGGTACATGCTCAAAAAATAATAATAAATTAAAAAATAAGTGTTAGAAATGGGGATAATAATATCTATCTCCTAAGGTTGAAGTGAGACATCAAAAAAAAAAATACATGTGAAGCCTTTTTAGAGCAGTGTCTGAAAGACCGCAAGCTGTCAGTCAACATTAGCTGACATTAATGGAGATCCAGGGACAGGGGGTGCTACAAATGGTTGGCAGTTGGCTGCTAACCAGAAGGTTGGAGGTTCAAGTCCACCCATGGAGACCCCAGAAGAAATAAATGGCAGTGTATTTGAAAATAATAATAATAATAATAATAATAAAGCTCTGTGGAGCACAGTTCTACCCTGCCATGCTTGGGGTCATGAGTTGGACTCTACCCGAGGGCAGCTGGCCACTGGTCACTGTTAATAGGAAACTAGGGCTGTATGAGAGGCTCCCTCATTTTTGAGAAGTTGTTCACTGTTAGAGCCGGGCACTGAGTTCCTTCGACTCTAAGGCTCACTGCGCCCAAGACCACTGTTTCCCTAAGTGGGTTCCATGGGATGCTAGTCTCTAGGATGCTTAGTGAGAAGAGGGTTCCATGGTTAAATAAGTTTGGGAAATGCTGTAAGCGCTCTGTGGCCCTTTCTGAGAGTCCTAACATGCAGTCATTAGCCTTAGCACATTAAAGGAGCTCAAGAGTCCGAGGCGAGGTCCTGTGTAGCTTTGTTTTAATGCAGCATTTCCCAAACTCATTTGACCACAAAGCCTTTTTTTTTGTTTGTTTTGTTTCCTGTTTTCACCTAACACCTATTAGCACCCAGCGGAACACACGGTGGGAAATGCCACTCTAGGCCGCGCGGCGTCCCCCGGAATGGTAATGCTTTTGTTCTTTTAAGGGGAAACCGATGGTCTCCTTCTCCTCCTGTGGAGTGTGCCTTAGTGGAAAGTGGGGCTGGCTTGTTGGCAGCATCTGCACTGACCGGAAGGGGCAGAGGAGTTGCCAAGTCTTCCCTTTGGCCCAGTACCTTCCATCCTGTTCTCCTCCCAGCCCCCCAGTACCACCTCTCAGTTACGTCCTTTGCGCCCCCACTACGTCTGCTTTCACTTGCTCTCTCCTCCCCATCTTTTATTCTGATCTCTGCGCAGCTGGGGATTCTCAGCTGCTCCTGTCCCCCGACCCCGAATAGCAGAAAGAGGCCTCAGCCCAAACCAGAAAGCTGACCACGTGATCTTGGACGAGCCCCCCCACACCTCCAACCTTCAGTCCTATTGTCATCTGTAAAAGGGGCATAATAACGCATGCCCATTTCACCTAACTGATCGCGTAGTGCCGTAAGCAGAATTGGGAAGGACAGGGAAACTCTGCAATCGAAGGGGTCATCGTTATCGCTCCTGGCTGCAGTTCCGCTAGGGAGCGAGCTTAGCCTTGTGCCGTCTGCCGATTCCTGGCTGGCGGCCGCCCCCTTGGACTGAAGTTCCACCGGAGTTGCCCTGGGGTTTGTGTGAGTGGGAGGCCCGGTGAGGTGGGCTTCTCACACTCAGTCACCTGCTCGTCCACGGTCATCTCCCTCGTCTCCATCCATTCTCTCTTCCTTGGCCACAGGTAAAGTGTGTGCGATACTGGCCAGATGACACTGAAGTCTACGGAGACATTAAAGTCACCCTCATTGAAACAGAGCCCCTCGCGGAATATATCATACGGACCTTCACTGTCCAGAAGGTAAGCTCCCCCGGCCACCAGGGCAGGCCAGCTTGCTCACGCATGGGGACATGGGTCTTGAGGGTCTGCTCTGGCCCCTTTGGCCCCTTCCCTTTACCTTCCACTCTGTTCTTATCAAAGAGTCTCATCGTCCCAATCCCCAATTCCCATCTATTACCATTACCCGAAGTAGACTTGGTTATGACTGACACATCACAACCAAACAAGGAAGGCAGCAGAGAACTGACTCCAAGGCTGCAGTCTTTAGAGAAAGCACTCTCATGGCCTAGCAGTAAGGACTGGTGCTGCCAACCCCAAGGCAAGTGGTTCAAATCCACAGGTGCTTCATGGGAGAAAGATAGGCAGTCTCCTCTCCTGTGATTCAGAGCCTCAGAAAACTCAATGGAGACTCAGCTAAGAGTTGGTTTTGACTCAACAGCACACAACAACAACAACTACAACAATCTTTACAGACGCAATCTTCCATTTCTCTGTCCCATGGATCAGCTGGTAGGTTTGAACTACCTATCTTTTGCTTAGAGCTGTGGTTAGCCTAGTGGCAAGAAGCTGTGCTGGAATCGTGTAGGCACTACTTTCACTTTGCAGATGAAGAAACAAGATCAAAGAGGTTTAAGACCCTTATCTGTATTTGCTCAACTAGAAGGTAGACTGATCAGGTCTGACACTTCAGCCCATTTCCCCTTTCACTATACGATGTTGCTGTTAGGTGCCATCAAGTAAACCACATGTCAGTAACGAAACCTCGCCCTCTCCAGTGCCATGCTCAGCATATTGCTACTGTCACTGGATGCAAAACGTCAGGAGCTTAAAGGCTTTGAGAGCTAGGCCCTTGAGGTTTGGACAAGTTCTGGTGAGGGTCAGACCAGGATGTGCTGTTTGCTCCTGGAGCCTCTTCCCTCATAATTTCATCTCTCTAGTACTGTCTCCATGTTCTTAAAGGTCTGAAGGCTTCAAAGAAGAAGGCAAGCGGGCTTCCTCCACTAACGGAAGAAAAAAATACCAGGTTGCTGTCTAACCACTTGGACAACTAATCAGAGGTGTTGTCTCAGGTCAAGTTTTTTAGAGGCAGAGTCTAAGGCAAGCATTCAGTGTCCATGATTATCAAGAGAGACCTCTCAAAATATACGGGTGAGGGGTGCAGGAGACAGAAGAAGAAGAGGTCGAGAAGGACCTCAGGTCACATGCAGGCTAGGCTTGATCCACCGTAACCATAGTGCTAAGGTAAGACAGCCAGGCCTCTGGGCTCCATACCAGTCAATCCATCAATTATGAGTAGCCCCGGGGTTAAAGATAGCATTCAGTTTAGGGAGGGTCCTGCCAAGTGAGGGCATCTTTCAGGAGAAGAGAACTGTGAGCTGCTATGAACCAGTTGTCCCAGCACCTAGGGCATGGTTGCATCACTCCAAGAAAGAGGATCTAGAAAATGTAATATCCGTGACACTTCCCACATACATACACGGTTAGTGTCTGGGAATGAGAGTTGGTCTGGGATGTGGTGGCCCCCTTTAGGACCCATACACTGAGCTGGAAATGCTTAGAGAGTTGTAGCTAGTTCAGAATGTTGAAGAGTTCTAGTCTTTCCTTGGCTTGCATTTTTGTTTTTCTTGCAAACACTCACAAAGGAAGACGTTTCCCCTTGAGAAGTGCCCTAAGAAGACCCTCAACAGCCTCTGAGGATTAACCTAACTTAGCCAACCTCTCTAGAGATACTCAGACAAGGCACTCCGCAAACACTCCTTGAGTTAAAAACACAAAGGGAGTACCTGAGCTGGGGAGGAGGCGTGTCCCTGAAATAAACAGAAGCTGTTCTCCTGTCCTTAAAGAACACACAGTCCCATCAGGAGAGACAATCCTTGAAGAACAGTCAAAGCTAAGGGGCAGGTGTTCAGGAAGGGCTTCCCAGGGCCCAGAGGGGTTGGAGGATGGAATGGAAAATTCCAAGTATTCTTGAAGCTGTCTGCTCCACTGCCGCTCCAGCGTGTCCATTACTGCTTTCATTCAGACCTTTATACTCTCCTGCCTGGTCTCCTACTGCAGCTGCTTCACAGGACTCGCTGCTTCTAGTCTTGTCCGTGTCTGACTGAGTCTGGGTTCCCTTGAAGCAGAGCCTGAGGCAAGGATTTGGTGCCCTTGAAGTTGAGCCAAGGAGTGCTCTCTCAGAAGCGCAGTGAGGGCAGCAGGACAACGCAAAGGACACAGCTGAGCTGGGGTGTGGTGTCAGCTGAAGGCCTGCTCCTTCCTGACCCAACCGGCGTGGGGCGGGGGCGCTTGGGAATGAATTCTACCCCTGTCTCAGGTCAAATCTTGAAAGAGGTTCTGTATTCTCACTGGCGTAGCCAATTATCCTGGTTTGCCCCCACTATCCTGGTTTAAGCACTAAGTGACCCATGTCCTGGGACACCTCACAGCTTCAGACAAACTGGGACAGGTGGCCATCCTAATGTCCATGCCAGTAATTGAATGCCAGCTGATCCCTAGTGACATGGCTCCCATTGGCGGGAGGAGAGTTCTCTGGAGAAGAAGGTAGCAGTGAGGTGTTTGTGTCTAACACTCAGGAGTGGCTGTTTATTGGAGAG